AGCAGTGCAGCACTATCTACATTGCTATTTATACCCATGGTAGGGAGGCAGAGTGTATGTATTCTACATGCCACTGTGAAGAGTGTGCAGCACAGATGTACCCTTACTCTGTATTTTCTCACCTAGTCACTGCCCACTTCCTGAAAGATGTAATTCTAGACTTCCCTCCAGTGGCAAAACATGTACTAGCTTGGGACTTGAATAACGTAGCTAAATTTGAAGTACCTTAGTCCGAACTTACCGCGGGTCCAGACGCTGCAGGCAGGCTCCCCCATCGATGCCGCGTACTCCTCTCGCCGAGCTGGAGTACCGGCGTCGACGGCGAGCACTTCCGGGATTGATTTATCGCGTCTAAACCAGACGCGATAAATCAATCCCAGAACATGGATTGCCTGCCGCCGGACCCTCCGGTAAGTGTAGACGTACTCTTAGTCACTGTTCAAGTCGCTGGCATCCTGCTCTCTACTACATATCTCCATAAAGATAGCATTTTTGGTCACTATCATCTCAGTCAGAGTCTAAGACAGGGATCAGCAACCTTTCAGAAGTGGTGTGCAGAGTCTTCATTTATTCACTCTAATTTAAGGTTTCGCGTGCCAGTAATACATTTTAATGTTTTTAGAAGGTCTCTCTCTATAAGTCTATAATATATAACTAAACTATTGTTGTATGTAAAGTAAATAAGGTTTTTAAAATGTTTAAGAAGCTTCATTTAAAATTAAATTAAAATGCAGAGCCCCCCCGGACTGGTGGCCAGGACCCGGGCAGTGTGAGTGCCACTGAAAATCCGCTCGTGTGCCGCCTTTGGCACGTGTGCCGTAGGTTGCCTACCCCTGGTCTAAGAGCTAGGCAGTGCTCATGGCTTATTCTCCCTTCCTTCTCCTCCCCCGATACAGTTCTCCACTAGGCCAAGGTATCCATGAAACTACATCTGAAATTCATTCCTAAGGCCTGGTCTACACTAGGACTTTAATTCGGATTTAGCTGCGTTAATCCGAATTAACCCTTCACCCGTCCACACTACAGAGCCAGTTAATTCGAATTAAAGGGCACTTAAAATCGATTTCTGTACTCCACCTCAACGAGCGGAGTAACGCCTAAATCGATTTTGTTAATTCGAATTAGGGTTAGTGTGGCCGCACACCACCGAATTACTGTGTTTAAGTTAATGGGGTAGTGTGGCCGCACACCACCGAATTAATGTGGTTAAAAACCGAATTAAGGTGCTTAGTGTGGCCGCGCACAATCGAATTTATACAACCTGTTTCCCAAATTCGAATTATCTAAATTCGGATTAATCCTGTAGTGTAGACATACCCTAAGGTGGTGTCAGATTTTCACATGAACTAAAGTATCCAACTACTGTTTTTAACAGTAAACCTCTTTCTAGCAGGGAAGAGGTTGCATGGCACTTACTAGATGTGTGTAGGGCTCTTACCTTTTACCTGCAAAGGATGAAATTACTTCAAATGTCATAGACTTTGTCATTTGTGGAACAAATGAAAGGAGAAGCCATTTCGTACCAGAAACAGTTGAAATAGATCTCAGTGTGCATCCTACTCTGCTACAAGATTAACATCTCCCTTGAGGGCATTGTGAGAGCACACTTGACTAGAGCTCAGGCAGCATCTGAAGTGTCCCTTAGAGTTGTCCCCCTTACTGACATCTGCACAGCAACAAATTGGAGTTTTGTACACATCTTTGCCAGACACTATCCCTTGGTGCAAGCAGCTGCTTCTGATGGTGCTTTAGGCAGAGCAGTTCTGCAATCTATTGTGTCATAGGACACCAGGCACCCACCTCCTTTAAAGGGACACTGCTTGTGAATGAACTGAAGTGCACTACACATAAGACAAATTAATTGGAGAAGGAGGGGTTACTTACTTTGTAATAACTTCAGTTCTTTAAGATGTTGTCCCTATGTCTAGAGCAGTGGTCTCCAAACTTTTTTGATCGCGCACCCCATCAGTAAAAAAATTTTGAGCACGCACCCCCTGCTCCTGGCCAAACTGTGGAAGCAAAAATAAATAAATAAATAAAAGCCACTCCGGCGGTGCTCCTCCTGCCGTATCCCCCCTCCCCCCGAAGAATACTCTTGCGCGTACCCCACTTTGGAGACCACTGGTCTAGTGCACTGCCTGCCCTCATTCCCCATTGCCTGGTTTCCCCCTACTGGGGACTGACGGTAGTGAAGGAACTAAGTTGCTAGTGGTTTGGCAGCCTCCTTTATTCCCTAAATGCAGAATGCAAGGAGAGTGGTGGCACATGCATATGGATCAGGCAGACAGTGCTAAGGAAAAATCTCCAGTCCTGGGTGTATGGAGCACCTGTGCAACCCAAAAGTGCACTACACAAAGGGACAGGACATCTTGAACTGAAGTTACTACATGGGAAGTAACCTATCCTTATGGAAGGTGTACCACCTCAGAGTCATGGACATCTGGGCCAGTATGCCTTGGCCGATCCTATGAATTTGAAGGAGGAATATATCTGTTAGACAATTCCCTTCACACTCCTTTGTCGCTTCACTATTATTCACATATACTTCAGTGTGGGTTAGGGTTCTCATCTACATCTCCACATACTTCAAAGTTTCTTGATTCTGCAGGAGATGAGGCAGCCTGATACTATCCCTCCTTGCCTCCTCTTGTCCCAGCCAGAATACACATAGCATTGGACATGAGCGTCTTGGGATAGGGAGCACACAAGGATGCCTTCTCAGCACAGCACAAAAACACCCAATGCAATTGGGTTAGCATTTCTTGGTGTTCAGAAGGTTAATTCAAGGAAAATACAACCTCATAAAGTGAGGCACATCAATAGTTGCGTACTTGAATCGGCAGTATGACATGAAAAAACCCACTCTGCTTAGGGAGTCTGCCTCTTTTGCAGTTCTGCTTTCAGTAGGGCCTTATTTAATCTGGGCCACCTTAAATGCACAGTGAATTTGCTAAACTGATACAAGTTTCTTCCAGGGGAGCGGTCATTAAAGGCAGAGATATTACACCATTTCTTAAGGATCTGTTGTATCTCCATTGTTGACCTGTTGGCAATATATTTCCATGACAAACTCTCCCCTTTTTTAAAATGTATCTGGACATAGAAACACCAGCTAAAGGCATGCTTTACTGTTCCAAGGAATTTTCCTTGGCTTCTACATTTCCTCCCTTCCAGGTCATATTAAATAATAATAATATTTTGTATTACTGTAGCACTTAAGAGCCCTAGTCATGGAGCAGCACCGCATTGTGCTAGGTGTTGTACAAACACAGAACAAAAAATACTGTCTCTGCCCCAAAGAGCTTACAATCTAAGTATAAGACGAGACAACAGATGAATACAGACAGATAGATCTGGGAGTACAAGAAAACAGCAAAACAGTATTGGTCAGCATGATAGGCAGTTAAATGTCTTAAACAGCACTAGTCATCCTGTGACTCTTTTAATCCTAATTTCCCCAGATTGGCCAAGGGAAGGTGTTGCCTAGACCTGCTGATGCTTTCCCAAGGGGTATATATCCCTCTGCTCTCATGCTGACACCATCTTGGGCCCAGTAATGCCTAGAACCCAAGTGTATTAAATCTTTTTGAATTGGTCCACAACAGGGCACTCCTGAAGTGGTAAAGCATCTCCGGATGCCCTGACCATAAGAACGGCCATACTGGGTCAGACAAAAGGTCCATCTAGCCCAGTATCCTGTCTTACGACTGGCCAATGCCAGGTGCACCAGAGGGAATGAACAGAACAGGTAATCATCAAGTGACCCATTCCCCGTCGCTCATTCCCAGCTTCTGGCAAACAGAGGCTAAAGACACCATCCCTGCCCATTCTGGCTAATAGTCATTGATGAACCTATCCTCCATGAATTTATCTAGTTCTTTTTTGAACCCTGTTAGTCTTGGCCTTCACAATATCCTCTGGCAAAGGGTTACACAGATTGACTGTGCGTTGTGTGAAGAAATACTTCCTTTTGTTTGTTTTAAACCTGCTGCCAATTAATTTCCCCTAGTTCCTGTGTTGTTATGAGAGAGTAAATAACACTTCCTTATTTACCATGCTGCACCCACAAAAAAGAGAAAACGAAAGAGGTACAATGAGGTGAAGGTGGCACTTTCCACATGATACAGGATAAGCCTTTTTTAAGAAAAAGAATCAGAATCCCCCCCATATTAGATTTTCTACAGAAGATTTTCCATTGAAAACCCTTTTACATTAAAGGCTCTGCACTTCAGAATCTTCAGCAGTCTTGCAGAGGTGGTGTACAGTGGAATCTTTCCTCTGCCTTTCAGATAGCCCCTCATTGGTTCTAGGGCAACTGTACTTAATCCCCTTAGAGTTGTGCAAACCGCCCTTCAAGATTTTCCATTTGGTAGATTTGTGGTTCTGCCTTCTGACATTAGTTCTGGATAGCAATCAAGTTGGCCAAGAAAATTAGAATTCTTGTACTTCACCTTAGTCCTCCATATTTGCTATTCCCTAGTGACAAGATGATCTTCAACACTTATCTTAGTTTTTGCCAAAATCCCTGTCTTCCTTTCCCCTAACCAGGGTACCACTTTCCAAGCTTCTGTCCTGATCCTAAATCAGAAAAGGAAAAGTCTACCACACCTTAGATTTCAAAAGGACTTAAGTATGTACATCTCTACCCCGATATAATGCGACCCGATATAACACGGATTCGGATATAACGCGGTAAAGCAGCGCTCCGGGGGGGACGGGCCTGTGCATTCCGGCGGATCAAAGCAAGTTTGATATAACGCGGTTTCACCTATAACACGGTAAGATTTTTTGGCTCCTGAGGACAGTGTTATATCGGGGTAGAGGTGTACTTAAATCAGTAAGATTGAGGTGAATGCATCCTCTTTTCTTCTCGTTCAAGGATAAGATCTAGTATCTAGCAGTGGAAATTGTCAGTAATGGTGAGGTTAATCACTACAATCAATTTTGGTTATAGTTTATTGCAGATTTATTTTAATAATCTGTCTTTTTTTCCCCTGCAGATAAGCAGCAAAGATGAAGATTTTTTAGACCTTTCTGTTGATGTAGAGCAAAATACATCAATTACTCACTGCTTAAGGTACATGCACAAACAAATGCTTATATATTTGAGTCTTTAATCTGTCACCATGTTAACTAATAATAAATTGATGAAGATGAAAATGGAAGAAGTAAAGCAAAATAGCTCAGGTTAATTTGATAGTCCAAATGTTTATTTTACATGCTTATTGTCCCTGTTTATTTAAAATGACCATGTAAACTCATGATGTAAAACAGTGTGATTTTTATTTTGTTTAAAAATCAGTATGTATTTCAAAATCAAGGAGTAGTTTCTACATCTTGCATTTTCCTTTCTGTTATATTCAGGGGTTTCAGCAATACAGAAACTCTGTGCAGTGAATACAAATATTACTGTGAAGAATGTCGCAGTAAACAGGAAGCACATAAAAGGTATAGTGTACTTAGAAAATATGTATTTCCATTTTTGAACTTGTTAATGATTTAAAAAAAAAAAAATTCCCCCTCTGATTCTGTGGATGCTTATCATGAATAACTTACTGAGTTGTACTCCACTTACTTTGAGTTCAATGGAAATATTCAGATAAGTAATGTTACTTATATGCATAAGTGTTTGGTTTGGGCTCTTGATCATCTTGATTTATTTCAAGGAAAGAATACAGCTTGTCTTTTAGGAACAAAACAAACTAGAAACGATGGGTGAAAATCAAGCTGTAAAACAGTGACAATCATACATTTTGCATGACTTTTTAAACTTGTCTGTATTTTTCTTAGCTATAATATTAAGTTGAGAAAAGATGGTAAGATCAAAAACATTAATGGCATTACTTAGTAGAGGTAGCATACATAGAATAATTCAGATTAACCGTATAGGTCTTAACGTCTATTATAAGAGAGATTCATAGCAATAGTTGACAAACCTGTATTTTTCTTTGATTCAATCAGAATTAATCTTGTAATAATATCACCATTTTTACTTTTTTCTCTTTTCTTATAAATTTAAGTTATTATATTAAACTACTACCTGACATAGTCCTTCCAAAAAGCAGCACAAAGTTTCTTGGAAGACTGAAATATTTTCTGTTTAGAAAAAATTCTTGCCCTTTGCCTAACATTGTAATATTTTTCTTTCAGCTTTTAAGAACATTTTTACTGAAAATGATTTGTTTTTTATTAGGGAGACAACCAGCCCCCCGCAGGTGAGGTAATGTGTATTGGACCAACTTATGTTGGTGAAAGAGACAAGCTTTTGAGCAACACAGAGCTCTTCATGAGGTCTGGGAAAGATGTTCAGAATGCTTTTTATTAGTTTCTCTTGCACAGGTTTTATTTTATTTATTTATTTATTTATGCACTGAATTTTTTTTTTCAAAATAAAATTCCATTATGTGAAACATAACTCATCTGTATTAGTTCACATATGCTGGCGAGGGCTTATTAGTTGTGAAAGCAACCAATTACGTGTTACTGCACAGTGTGACACAACTCACAGGATCACTCTCAAACAAAATTAATAGATGCATTGACAGTGTTATATTCATAGATTCATAGATTCTAGGACTGGAAGGGACCTCGAGAGGTCATCTAGTCCAGTCCCCTGCCCGCATGGCAGGACCAAATACTGTCTAGACCATCCCTGATAGACATTTATCTAACCTACTCTTAAATATCTCCAGAGATATTCATACATGTACATCAAGCACCATATAATTCTTAATAGGCCACAAAACAGCAGGTCCACGTAGAGCACAGAACAACAAAATGCATTACTGTGGCTCACTATTACAGTGATTTTTTCAAAGCTTCCCTAAGCTGTATAGTGCAATGAACAGGGCATGGACAGTCAGGTCTAGTGGTCAGACCCAGACTCAGACCCATTGGCTGAAGCAAAGGGTCAAAACCAAAGATAATGTCAGGTACCAAACCAAAGTTCAGAGTCAGAGATGGTGTCAGGTGGCAAGCCAGAGGTCAGAGCTGGAGACAGAGTCAGAGGTAAGGTGGAGGAGCAGGGACCTGGCGTGTAGGGCAGGACAGCAGGAACTAGAAGTAGACAGGAGTCTGGGATAGGAGGACAGAAACCAGGAGCAAGCAGGAATGCAGGACTCAGGAGTCAGGTAGGGAAGAGGGGTCAGTAATAGTAGCCAGTCAGCTAGTTGCTCAGACAACTTCCTGTTGTTACTTCCTGGTTTATATAGAACCCTTCAACCAGACAGGGGGCTGGATGTTTCCCCAATTGGGAGCTTTGGGGGCAGGGCCCTCTGCAAGCTAACCCTTTGCTGGACCGTCTCCTGATTAACCAGGTGAGCTTCTGGATGTTGGTCGTAACCTTGGCATTGCCTAGGGACATGTTGGCCCATGATCCCTCACATCTAGCTCCACGTTCAGTTGTTTTAATAGCCCTTCTGTCTGGCTGTTCAACCTCAGGAGACCAGCTGCCCACCTCTTCCCTCCACCCCAGTGGAAACTTTTCTCCCTTTGCTTCACAGATATTATGCAGGATACAGCAGGAAACTATGACCATTGGGATATTTTTCTCACTGAGGTCTAATTTTGTGAGTAAACAATGGCAACGTCCCTTCTGTCTACCAAAAGCACATTCAACTGTCATTCTGCACCTGCTGAACCGGTAGTTGAATCTCTCCTTGGTGCTGTCGATGTGGCCAGTGTACAGCTTCATGAGCCAGGAGAGCAACAGGTGTGCTGGGTTGCCCAGGATCACTATCGAAAGCTTGTCTCTCTCTCACCAATAGAAGTTGGCCCAATAAAGATATTACCTCACTCACCTTATCTCTCTAATATCCTAGGACTGTCACGGCTACAACTAGGCTGCATGTGGGATCGCTATTGACATTTTAAGATTCTCAATTACAACCTTCCTGTCAGGAAAGAAGTTCCTACATGAAGACGCGGGTGTCATGCACCACAACACTGATGTCAGTGCAGTGTCCCTGGTGATTCACCAGTGCTTGCATAACCACAGAAAAGTAGCCCTTTCTGTTGATGTACTCTGTAGCAAGGTGGTCTGGTGCCAAAATAGGGATATATGTGCTGTCTATCATCTAGTTCGGTTTCCTATTGGGGAACCCCATTGCTGCAAATCCATCCACTATGTCCTGCACATTGCCAAGAGTAACAGTCCTGCGTAGCAGGAGACCATTAATGGCCCTGTACACTTGCATGACGACAGCATCCGCAGTGGATTTTTCCAACGCAACTTTGATTTCCAACTGACTGGTAGCAATTTGGCATCACAAGTTTCCACAATGCAATCAACACGTGCTTTGCCACTGTCAGTGCAGCTCTCATTTTGGTGTCTGTGTGCTGGAGGGCTGGGGTGAGCTTAATACACAGATCCAGGAATGTGGCTTTGTGCATCTGAAAGTTCTGCAGCCACTGCTCATCATCCAAGCCTGTATTAGGATGCGATTCCTCCAGTCAGTGCCCATTTCTCAGGCACAGGAAGCGGTGTTCCCCCACCAGCAGCTGCTCTGTGAATGCCACCAACAACCTTGAATTGGTTCTCGTTTTGTCCCAAAGCAGTCTGTCCTCCAAGAAATCATGTTCCCCACTGTTTTGGTTCTTCTTGCAGCTCTGCAATTACTGCAGGATTCTGTGCCCTGTGCTTGCAATGCTTATGAAAATAGTGCAGAACTGTGCAAACGCCATACTTCTGTCAGAGATGGTGGACAGCGAGGAAGGCCACATATGTTTGTAGGATTTTGAAAAAAAAAAAGGTGCAAAAATGATGGCAGACTGATGACATTATGGGATAGAGATAGTTGTACTGGGACTGTTGACCTCTTGCTGCCAGTCAGCCCTGCACAACTTGTTTCTGCCCTACCATGCATTGGCAAAATTTCCAAAAGGCAGTGTGCCTGATGGTGATGGGTTGTACACTGGGGTATCTGCCCATGGTGCACTGCACTGTGCATTGATACAAGTGTTCCTGATGAGTATGCGCACTGCCCACACAAGAGGAAAAGTATGAGTGCGCACAAGCAATATGCTAACTACAGTAGCTTTATGCCAACATAACTTAAATCGACAAAAGTTTGTAGTGTAGACATGGCCTAAGGTGCTGTTTCTGATTATACCATAGCTCTAACATGTCATTTTGGGTAAGTCTCTTAAACTCATTCCTGAAGTTCACTAATACTTACTGATGTTTATTTAGCAGGCGCTGAGATTCTCGGGTGAAAGGTTTTCAGAAAGATATCTTCTTTGTGATATTAAAATTATCACAGAAACTGATTAATTTCACAGTGACTTCAAATGAAGAATAAGTAGAACGAGAATAATGCACAAACAAAGGCACTCAATATTCTTTCTAGTAGTAGTGGGGGTTAGAAAAAGTGGAGAGATGCAGAAGTGGATACAGTATAAACAAAATTATGATAAAATTGTTTATTTTTCAAAACTCCATAAGTTTAGTCATCCAAAAAATAAAACTCATGAAAAAGGGTTTCACCATAATGTTCACAATAGGTACGCTAAATAAAAGAGCACTGATTCCAAGCTCTGAGTACCTTTTACAGTTTATTATAAATTTTAAAATGGACTCCAGCAATTACACCATCATCAAGCAATAATGTGAATATAACAAAAATCTAGTAAGTCCCACCCAAAAAATCACCAGAGTCCTCTCTCTTTTCCCAACTTTGCCCATTTCCTATCTCCTTACAGGTCAAGGTGAAAATGTCAGCCTTGCACAATGCCTGAAAGGTTAATAAGCTCAAACTGTCATGGACTAAAGGTGGAGACAAGTTTCAAAGACCTGTGATGCTAATGGCAGCTCCCCGCCACCCATCTCTTATGACAAACAGGCTGTAGCTGGCACCTTCCCTGTCATATATACAGAGGTGGTCTCTTAGATAGGTAAGCACCCAGGTCACTTAGGGCTTTATAGGTCAAAGCCAACACCTTAAAATCAACATGAAAACTAATGGCCAGTGCAGATAATCAAGTACTGGTTTAATGCACTTCCTAAAAGAAATACTGCTTAATAAAAAGACCACCAAATTCCACACCTGCTGCAATTTTAAGAGGTAGCGCCATAATCTAATCTCAAAGTGACAGTCCACTGCAAGGCCCACATCTGAAAGTAACTGTTGCAACCTCCTGCCTGTTTAGATGAATAAAAGAGTTGACCTAGGTATAACTGCTATCTGTTTCTCTACTAGTAGCTGGGAGTCCTAATGAGATTCCCACATTAATGAACCCAGTCAACAAATGATCAGATGATCATAGAATATGAGGGTTGGAAGGGACCTCTAGAGATCATCTAGTCCAACCCCCTGCTTAAATGAGGACCAATCCCCAACGATTTTTTTGCCCCAGATCCCTAAATGGCCCCCTCAAGGATTGAACTCACAACCCTGGGTTTAGCAGGCCAATGCTCAAACCCCTGAGCTATCCCTCCATCCACTATGTCC